CTATGGAATATTTTTCGCACCTTTTTCAGCCATAAAACTATCTATGTAAGCAGAGTTTCAGTTTGAAGGTCTAATTGTTTATGATATAGTAATTTAATTATAGAATACATAATCATGAAGGATGCTTGAGGTTTATAATACAGTACAGTATACTGTACATGGCGATAGTTATCACTTATAATCAGGCAACCCAAAGGTTGATTAGGATTAATCTATCATATGATTAGTTTATGTTTCTCGGTATTTATATATTTCGTCTATTGAACGAGCATTTATTTAGTTACACCTACTACTTCCTTGATATCTTTAGTGAATCCTTTGGAAAACCATTCTAAAGTTTGAACATTAAATAATTATTAAAATATGTAATTTAATCCACTATTTTACTAGGCATGCGATATATACCATTATTTCATATTATATTTTATAATAACAGGAGGAATTTTAACGTCCACATAACTCTTTACTCATACATACATATATGTGTATACCAATGGAACCTAAGAAGACAAATTAGGAGTAAAACAAATAGCATTAATAATGATGATGATTTTATTTAAGATTATTGAAGTCATTATAGGTAATTATACTCACCAAACCTAAATTTGATTTACCTGTAATAAATATAAGTAATAGTCCTATATCTCTAATAAATATTTATAAAACATATTTCTTATTATAATAATAATTTAATGGATTATAAACTAATTAGTCTATGAAGAAAATAGGAATCGCGAAGACCGAAAAAGTGTCTTCGTTTTTCGTTAATATTGTTATATAGCAAATAAATTTTTTTCTTAGTTATAACTAGAACTAAATGTTACTAGTAAATTAATACTAAAATATTTACGATTAACAAAAAGCACACAGTCTCCGTATAATATATATTGAGTAGTGATTTTTTATGGAGTGTTTCGATATTAAACAGAAATACTCAAGGGAATACGAGTAGAAAATTAAAAAAAATAGGAAACAATTCTTCTTGACCTGAAAATAAATTAAATAATGAGGATAGACATATACTTATCATTTATATATGTATATTAAAGATAGGTCTATGGCTATCTTTTATCTTATCTTGTGATGTATATAAAAATGGTATATATATAAATTATATTTTATATTCTAAAAAACCATCCATAAACATATTCAGTAGTATTGAATAAAATATTCAAACTGCTCGACGACCGTTGCTCATTTGAATATAAGAAATCTAAAGAAAAGTACAATAAAAATACTGGCGAGTGAAAGTGTCACGCACACATACACAAAATATATGTGTAGTGGTGGAGAAAGTCAGTCGCGTTGGTAATTGTAACAGCAAAATTTATAGAGTCGATAATAGATTATATTTTTTTTCTAGCGATATTTCATGTGCAATAGACTAATCAATGAGATATCGTATTATTATTACTAATAAAATATTTATTATATATTAATTGAACATTAAAATATTTCAAGGAGAGACTTTAAGATCATTACAATAAAAAATAATTAAATTGAGTCACACCACATCGTTGATTTCAATTCTTAAATTTTATGAATGAAATACTTTTTATAATGAAATATTAATCTACATATTAGAAAAAAACCATATTGCATATTTAAAAATGAAACTAAATATATATTCCGAAATAAGTATCATAGCTTATTGAATTTACTCATTAGCTTATTGAAGATTACAGATATAGACTATATTTTTTATTTAAATATAAATGTAATTAGTATCTTTAATTGTTTTCATTGTTAAAAAGCAGATACACATAATGTTTTAATTCTTGTTATTTGATATGTTCGTACTATACGAGTAACAAGTTAAGTAATAAAATTATTGTCCTCTCCACATCTCTCACTGTTCTAGAATTTTCTATCATGGTGTGAGTGAGTGAAAGGTATGTACATACATCAATATACCCACGCATTTATTTGATTGTATGAGTGAGGATGGTATGTAGTTTTTTACGCATTCTATTCTATTGAAAACTAGTATAAAAGTGGGTTTGTGCGTTTGTGTCACTTAGTTTCTAAACAGAGGCGGTGATGGTATGGCGTGTTCATGATTTTTAGTTTATGGTGAAAGTCTTTCACGAATTTTGAAATCATGATTTCCACATTATCTAAAAATTTTTGAAATCTCATATAATATATTATAATGTGAGAATTTTGAAAATGAATTAAGTATATTACTAAAAATTAAATTAAGGTATCAAACCTGATAATACTGATGATTCATTATAACTAAAAACAGAACTTTGTTTATACCATAGATATTCAAATTACATAATACATAGGCTACAATTCGAAAAAATAATACTTTCTTTGGCTAATTGACAAAGAATAAAGGTGAAGTTATATAAGAGGTAGATTAGTTATAAATATAAAACTAACCATAGCTGCTACATTCGTAACTATTGTTAAAATTACTATATTATTCACAAAGTTTACTATAATTCAATAATTTTGTAAAGCAATATAAAAATATATAGGCATGTATATAATATAAAGATATACTTGAGCATTCAAGGCATGTGTTTACTGTAGTTATAGTGAGTGATAAGATTTTATCCATTATTAATTAAATCTGGCATGAAAGATAAAAGATTTGTATACCTAAAACTAAACAACATTTTGAAGAGCGATTTAGGCAGTAGAATTATATATCGTATCTCGATGTCGTACGCCTTTGAAAATATGTTTTTGGGGATATCACAGACTGCTCTGTATGTTTTATAAAGTTCTTAACATTTATTATTTGATATTTACTACCTATAATCACGAAGGGTGATGGTTGGAAAACAAAAAGCAAAGGATATTTGTGTTTTTATATGACAAATATATTTTTTATGAGTAATTTCAAACTTAATATTCGACTTGATTTCTCAAAATAAACCCATATTATCGAAGTTGTGTACCGGCACAATATATACATAATATATTTCAATTGTGTATTATTACATGCTATTTTAAATGTGTAACTATTTTCAATAGTTGTTATTTTCTCCAATAAGAGATATATGAAACCAATCTTATTTCCTTACCTCTCGATAGATGGCGTTAGTAGTAACTGTAACTGGATGTTGTGAGATTGTATGTCGGTCGAGATTTGGTTCTACACACAAATTCATCTCTTTTAGTTGCTGTATGTTTTATGAAATATAATTAAAAATTAATGAGAGTACAGTGTAACACCAAAAAAAAAATCAACTGTCAAATTAAATCCACAAATTAATTTTATTTGTTCGCTTTTAAACGACTGTTTTCAGACTAGTACCTATAGTACAATGTATTTAAAAATTATGCCTTAATATAGACGACAAGTATCATTTCTTAATGAAGATAAAATTATTAATTCATTAATTGTGCCTTCAAACAACATTTTCTTTTGTATTATACAATTACCTTAAAACCAGCTAGTTTTTACCAGCAGCTTCGCTCGTATGGTATTGATTTTGATAATTATAAATTACTAGTTACCCACAATTTTATTTGCATTTTACAATATAAAAAGTAACCTATCTCAGTGCTATGTCAAGTTTCATTATCATTTGTTCAGCCGTTTATATAAAGTTTCCGATATATACAAAGCATTAAATTTTTTTCACTGTATTTCCTCATAATTTCTAAAGTATGTTATGCGGATTTTGAATATAATAAAAACAGATTTGATATATACATTACAATTTTGTATTTATTTATTCCATTTTTATTTTATTTTACTTGCTAATGATACAGTCTCTTGATAAAACTTAATATAAATAATAATTTAGTAACTTACTTAATTACTATTTAATACTAAATGACACAATATAACCCGTAAATAAGTAAAATAAATGGGCATATTAATTAACAGAATATAAGTCTTAATATTTTGTACCCTGTGCTATTCCAAACTTGTATATTTATACAGATCTCCTTCTTATACATTTTCTCTCTAATAAATTTATAATAATAAATAGAAATTCAAATAAATTAATTAAATGATTATATAAAATTTGTACTTTACAATAAATTATGCACCATGAAGTTCAGCTTTTATTTAAATTAAATAATTTTATTAAAGCTTAATAAATTTATCTAAAATTATAATTTAAATTAATTAAATAAATATAATCTATCAACTTAATGATAACAAGATCACTGGAAATGTTATATTGCGTTTATAATAAATATTAATAATAAAAAAATGGGTATAGATCCCTTTTTATAGTATGTATAAAAAAACTAGGGCCAAATTACTGTAATGATTTTAAATATCAGTTTGTATACAACTTTATCGGTTACGAATAACCAAACATTCATTACTCATCACTAAGAAGTATAAAAATTATTATGTATAATGAAAATCGCATTGGCATCCCTTTATTCCTTTGAAAACTATATGCTATACAAATTCACTAAATAAATTATTATAGTATATTATATAATCGATTCGAATATTAAAAATGGCATCTATAACATTGAAATTATTGTATATTCTCATTTTATATGTTTTATTCTACAAATCTTTAGTTCATCAAAAATAAATTATTAAATGTCTATGAATATTAGATAACCAAGGATGATCTTTTGTTGTATGGTTTAAAAACCAAAATCACCGCAATAATTACAACTAAAAGTTCAATGAAAAGCAGGTACGTAACCGCAACAGATAAACATGCCACGAGACAAAAGACTACCTGAAATTTAGACGTTTGGTCGTCGTTGCCGGTTCCAGATGTTCATACAATTGTATATAAAGTAGACACTATTTACAGTCTAATTTAAGCTAAATATCCTATTGTGATATAAGATGATATGACTATGACATGATAACATTTAGAAAACTCGCTTGCAGTTAGGTTGATCCCCAAAATGTTCACGAAATCTAAATTATATAGATATTAGAAACAGATTGTGGGTTTGAACATTCGGGTCGTGTGGTGAGTTTGAAAGTACTAACTGAACCAATTTTGAATTTTTTTTGCTGTTAGATAACCTATATCGAGGAATAGACTATACAATATGACGCTAAGTCCGAACCGGACCGTACCGGAGCTAAAATAAAAAATGTTGTAATAAAGGAGAAAATGCTACGCAGGTGAAGATGTTCAGGTCATGCACATACAAAATACAAATTAATATCAGCCTGGTCTCATATAGCAACGCGTCTCTTTCAGCGAACATGTCTCGTGTTATGGCCTATCACGGTCGTATTTGAAATATTGTATATAGGTGATATGTTTAGGAAGCTATTTGAGCCTTGTAAGCTAGGTCGTTGGCATCTTGAGCTATACTAGAAGATCTCGCGTATGGATACGATCCAGCTGAAGCGGTAGGCGATGACCATTGCTGGGGTGATGACTGGAAACTAGCAATCTGCGAATGAAATTCTATTTTTAAAATACTTAAAACATTATATTTAAAAAAAATAGCAATTATTAAAAAAAAGATAATTTTTTTATTGTAAGTTAGAGCTAAAGAGCCTCTACTTTCTTGGCTATGCGTTTCGAAATTTTTATATGTAAGTCCTACATTAATTCATTTACAAAAACAGAATATAACTATTTACCATTTATGTAGTACTGTTTTAATAAGGTAGACTAGGTACAAGGTTGTCTGCGTACTTCTGTTCCTCCAATTCAGCCGACAAGCAGCTTGATTTAAGATATGTTTCGTTTGAAGGATGAGATGAGATAAAGTACGGTAACCCTTTATCATCAGTTGGGCTGTTCGCTTGTTTGCCACCATCGTAGCATAAAAAAAATGCACATGTACGCAGGCATGACTTATGAGTCCTCCAATATGGCTAAGCACGTCAAGTGCCACGGGCTTGTTTACATAAACAATACCTCTACATACTCTGTTTAGAAGCAGAAGGGGCTATGGGATATGACCAAAAAGTTTTCATTAATACACAATTAGACTAAGAATTTTTAAATACCTTTCCGCTAATATTGTTCAATCCACCACCGCTGAGCAGTTTCTGAATACCCAGGGCTGCAGCAGCCACAAACGCCAGCTTGGCCATCACCAATGCCTTGGTCACCAACAGCGTAAGACCACCAAACAAGATGCCGAGCACGGCTATAACTTTGACACCGATGCCAGCCAGGAGAGGCGTGTACTTTTTAATTTTACCCCGAGCTGAAAAGAATATAATTGTTTCATTAAAAATACATAGAAAATAAGTGATACTCTAATCTAAAATATATTCTTTATGTAATATAATTAGAATGGCAAATAATCCGACAGCCCACCCGTTGGTAAGCAGTTTTTTTTTTGAGGGTTGATAATGGAATGGTTTACGCTGGCGGGGCACCAGTGGAGGATGATAGGATGAACATGAAGTCAGATCAGTTAGCCCAACGTGACAAATTCACCGGGAATGTATCACGATGGTTTCCAGGGGAAACCGCGTGGAGGTCAACCTGACATGGTACATTTGGGAATGGGAACATTAGTCCACATTACTAACAATCCCCTTCCCCCCCCCCCCCCGTGGGTAAGCAGTAAGTGTCCCCTATATACATGAACAGCACTACGAACATCACGTTATCACCCGTGATACCCTTCATGTGTTGCCATTCCAGAGGGCTAAGACGTCATGCCTGTTAAACTTGATTGAGTGCGAAAATAAAATAGCGGTTTGTAGAAATGTGTGTAATGGAAATGGTGTAAATGATCAATGCAATTAGATCGCAATAAATAATCGCAATAATTAACATAAAAACTAGACGACGCGCGCGGCTCCGCGCCTCACCCCCTCAGGAACCAGTTATTATTTGTAAAGTATTACAGTGAGGCGTTAATATGACTTTTATTCTATAATTTCATTGCCTAATCTGCACTGTACAACAGAAATACAATATACAAAGCAAGTTGCTTAGCGGCTAAAAAAATATTTATATTCAGGGGCAGATTTTTTATTCTGTCAAATATATTTCACTAGAGAATGATACGGTATTATTATCTATATTAATTTATAATCTGTCGAATAAGTGAGATTTGGTAGTGAAATTACAGGGAAAGAGCCTTTACATCTTAGTCATAAAACGATGCTCGTAGAAATAGAAATAGAAATAGAAATAATCTTTATTCAAATAAACTCATTACAAGCACTTTTGAATAGTCATATTTTGATTCTACCACTCATTCGGAATGCAGATTCATCACAAGAAGAATGAGCAAGAAACTTGTGTGTTGCTCTTTTTAATAGATGTTTTTTTTATATAAATAATTACAGTATAACAAGTAAGAGGCATGCGATAATCAACATAGAAGTCGCTACGCACTCATTATTAATGTAATCAGATAATATTGTCAGTGCTATAGATTTAAAGTTTTTCTATAAAAACATTATTATCGTTAACGAATTCTTCAATTTTATAGTAAGCTTTTTTGCAAAGGAACTGTTTTATTTGACATTTAAATCTTTTTTCTGGCAGATTTATAACAGACTCTGGTATTTTATTGTAAAACCTTACGCAATTGCCATAAAACGAATTACTAACTTTAGCCAAACGACATTTAGGTAAAATCAGTTTGTTATTGTTACGTAAGCTTTTATTAGTGCAATCACTAACTCTTTTGAAACTGTCTATATTCCTTCTGGCATAGATGATATTTTCATAAATGTATTGAGAAGCAACGGTGAGGATATTTGATTCCTTAAAACACTCTCGCAATGACTCCCTGGAACCCATACCATAAATGGAGCGAATGGCCCTCTTTTGTAAAGTAAATATTGTATTTATATCAGCTGCTTTGCCCCATAACAAAATACCATACGACATAATGCTATGGAAATAGCTAAAATAGACAAGTTTAGCCGTTGCCACGTCTGTTAATTGTCTAATTCTTCTTACCGCATAAGCGGCAGAACTAAGTCGACTCGCCAATTTAGTAATATGAGCACCCCATTGCAACTTGGAATCTAATGTGATACCTAGAAATACAGTATCGTCAACAAAATTAATAGATTTATTGTCCAATACGATTTTTGAATCTACCGGCCTTACATTGGGGAGAGTAAATTTGATACATTTAGTTTTATTTGCATTTAGTAGCATATTATTTGCCGTAAACCATTTTAAAGCAAAAGAGAGAGAACCGTTTACTTCGTCCATATCATCAATATGTCGATTGACTTTGAATACTAATGAAGTATCATCAGCAAACAGAACTATGTCAGCTATCTTTTCTACCATATAAGGAAGATCGTTTATGTAAACTAAAAATAAGAAAGGACCTAGAATAGAGCCCTGAGGAACACCCATTTTAATACTAGTTCCCTCAGTAGACTCCTACGAGTACACATATACATACATACATACATAAACTGTATGGATGAATAGATGGAAAGATGGATGTTTGTTACTTTTTCACGTAAAAACTACTTAAAGGATTTGGATGAAACTTTAACTTTTACACATAACTATAACTTGTACACATAGGCCATACATTTCATTTATGGCCTATGTGTTATTCTGTGTATATTTTGTGTATGTTATAAATTTCATGCGGAAGAAACCGCGGGCACTGCTAGTACATACTAAATCGGGAAGTCACCGTAATACTGTATTTATATGTATACGTGTCTACGGTACATATATGTAATAACCACATTATTATTATTAATAAAAATACTCATATATTTAGCACCAATATAGGCAATACGTACACTAAATGGGGAAGTAATTGAAAAACAGTGGTAAGAAACGTGTAACTATTGACGTTAATGAAAATGAATGGTCGAGTGGCCGATGCGTTATACTTTGTCACGTAATCGGTTATTGACTTGCTTGAATTGACATTCAATATATTCACAATTTTGAATGAAGGACAATGACGCCCGTTCTTTGTATTGTTTTGTTTTAATTATATACATTAATATATATATACAAATAACCCCTAGACAATTAACACAGCGCCATCTAGTCACATCAAGCAAAGCTTGTGTTTTGGACACTAGAGAACTGATATAAATTCTTAGATTTTTTTGTAAATATATACATAATATACATAGAAAACACATTCTGCCGACTCCAAATGAATGGGATAAGGAAAAGCAGGTGATATTTGTTCAGTAAGTTTCAAACATTAAAAAATAACACAGCGTTCAAATATGGCATTAGTTTTCAAACGAGAGATTTTTAATATGTTCCAAATAGTGTATATTTCTAACTTATTCAAAATCCCTTGTCGATATAGATATAATAGAATGTCGCCTCCTAAATAAACGCTTACAGAGTAACCGAATTCCATTGAATAAATATGTTGTGTTACCAAACCGGTGTTGTAATATTGGATGCACTGCTGTATTTGGCATAGCCTGTGATGATAGTGTGTATATAAATAAATAAATAAATATTTGTTAATAAAAATATAGATTAAAAAATAAAATAAAAAAGAATTAAACTGTGTTAGTATGTAGACCACGCTACAAGTATATATCGTTCGCATTCTGCATCGGGGTGACCGAGTTGGCCTTGACCGAGCGGTTACGTTTTCTCACGTAAGAGTTTACTGACCCGACTTTCATTTTATTATGGACAGCTGTTTCCTACTATGTTTGATATATCGTAAAGTTTAAAATATTAAATGTACCTATAAATTTTAAAGCGATACTTTTATCTTTACATAATATAATATACTTTTATCGATCAAATAATGATATAATCTGTAACTTAACTTAAAAAAATAATTTTATATAATTACAATATAAATATACAATTAACATTACAATGACATTAAATTTTATCACATGAATTTTGTGTACTTAAAACTTTTGTAAAAAATCTTGAAATATTTATATGAACTATGAAGATAATCTAATTACTTACTTTTTATATACATATATCACGTATACATTAATGCCTTCCATGAAAGATTTTTGTTTTTTTTTAAAATGAAAGATTGTGAAATATTTTTTTAAACTTAGGATTATTATATTATTCTAACTTACTGTTAGTATGGACCTGTGGTATAGACTAAATTACTAACCTTCTTCAAAAGTTCTGGCTGCCTCCCTCAGTTCTCCTGGTTCAAATTTGACATTTAGTTTGTCTTCACCAGATGGATCTCTGTGAAAAAAACATATTTGAGTACAATATTAAATATATACTTGTATGAAAATGATCTCCTTATAACAAAACATTTTTACTAGTCAAATATTTTTTACAATGGTAACTGGAATGATAATTCTATTACTCTGTTTTCTCTTAAGGTCATAGGGATCCGTCTCAAAAAGTAACAAATATCCAATAATTTATTTCTATTTATCCATTACACATTAAAAGGATTTCGTCCGCTATACAGTCAGTACTTCAAACGTTTTGTAAGAATTTTTTTTTTGTAATTAATGTTACTTTCGGTCTTTCCTGGTAGTGTTTTTGGAATGGAAAATATGTGCCTGAAATAATCATGACAACTTGATTGATAGGAAAAAACCATAAAGGAAAAACACTCGTCAATATTTCGCTTGTATTATACGTATTCGTTCATTTTAGACTGTACTTATACTGCGTGTAATAACTTCAATATGTAGAATTAACTGGTGCGGCAAATTACGGAAAATAACTCAAGTGGCTGTTTGTCAAACGGACGACTACAGTTTACCGTAAGTTGTTTTTTTAACAACAAACAAAAATAGTACCGTCAGACAAAAAAAAAACTTTGTATAGGAAATTACGCAAAATTTTGTATATAAAGAAGGAGTGCTAACTAGCTAGTATTACATTTATTCTTTAACAAAAAAAAATAAAAATGTTCATATTTAAAATTAAAATGATGTTATGTTTAAAATCCCACCACCGATAGACCACTAATTATTTTTTTTAGTAAAATTAAACAACATGCATGAACCTAATAGAGCAAGACCATTAGGTTCATGCATAAGGTATATCTGAGTTTAGATTATTTTATAATCCCTAAATTCAAAGTGCTAAATACATTTCGACTTGACTTTCAAAATGAAATATTCATATTTAATTCACATAAAAAGAGAAGAACTAATAAATTTATTATCTTGAATTATAATCTGTTTTATGTGATATTTATTAAGGTTTTGCAAATATCGCTCTCACTCATGTACACTGCAGTGCTTCTGACAATATATTGCATATCTACATATGCAAATAATTACTGGAACTCTTAAAAGGACAAAGGGCCTTAAACGAAACTACAAAAACACGTGTAAACAACGCTTTCTCAACTTTGAAAGTGAAATACAGACAATAGAATTACATTTTCCACTAATCCGCCTTGTCGAGTGCGACGTATTTGTTTCGGTCATTTGCTTTAGTCATTTTGAATACTTGGCAGGTAATAGGTATCCTAAATATACCGGCTATTACCTAAACGTTAAACGTTACCTAAACGACTAATAGTGTTAAAGTAGAACAATTTTGAGAATTTAGTCATTATTGATGTCAAAATTGTGCTATTATGTCACCTAAATAAAAAAATTGACATATTTCATGCAACCGGAGTGACAAGGAAGGTGATGGTCCACCAGAGAAGAATGGGAATGGCACAGCATCACACATGTCACAAAATGCTCTATGATGCTTGCGGTTCCCCTAACACTGCTATTCCTGAAGACTAAAGTAGCCTTTGGATTCTGTAATTTCATTGCTATTTTTAAACTTGGAAAGCGAGCTATCGTTGGCAGAAGTAACATAGAGGTAGAAGGGAAACTTTACATTATATGTAATATCCGGGAATGCACGACATTTTTAAAAACTTACTGTAGAAGATTTATCAGAAGATAATGGAAAGTTAGGGATGATTTATATAATATGATATTCAAGGTATACATGACGTCCTTGATAAAGTAATTCACTAGTAAAATGGCAAAGGATTTGTCCTGAAAACTAATTTTCATCAATTTCCCAGTAGAATGTTTTGAAAATCGTGTTATGTCTAGGTAGGTTATCTTTTAATACTCGTAAATAATATTATGAATTATGAATATAATGATAATGAATATTATTTATCTATAGTCCTTAGCTAACTTCTACCCTCTTTAATATTTTACAATAATAATAAAATTATACCGAATCAACAAGTAACGAATTACATATTGACTATTAAGGAATGCAATTGTATTAAATATAAAAAATAACCATATGGTACACGACATATAATTATAATTTAAAATACGAGTTTGTGTACATATAAGTGTAAAATATCAAGAATATTCAAATTAATAGTAAAGAAAGTGGGCAGGTAAAATATTTTTATTTATAATAAAAAATATGTATCAGTTAAAAAAAATATTATTTTAAATATACACTTATATTCTAATTTAAAAAAATGTTAGTTCCTACCCATAATTGTACCATTGAGAAACCGGGACGCCTAAATAAATAAAAAATATACAATTGTGTATTATGCCACGTTAAATAAACTCACCTTTCTATGGCAACCCCAGAGAATAATTCTATCCTTCCCTCATCTTCACCTGTTGCTCCAGGGGCAGCTCTGCAGGCCACCACAGCGACTACCAAAACTAAACACAGCACTCTCATTTTAAAAAGGTCAAAGATGAAAATTAAAAAATATAATTTTAAAAAGTTGATTATTTAAAAATGGAATTTTGTGAGTTCCTTCTGGTTTCGTTGTCGAGGATCAAGTGAGAAGCGTTAGGGACTCGTATGCTTTTATATTGGGCGAGGAAAGATGAGTGTTTTGTAACTCAAGCAAAGGTTCTACGGACTCGGTTCCGTGTAGTGTGAAGTACAAAAGGTTTTGATTCTTGAATATAAGTTATATATATATATCTTCTATGTTGAATATTATTAGTTAATATAATGAATAATTATAATTAGCCTTTACTTCATTGAATCAAAAAATATATATTTCTTTGTAATAAAAAGAGGTTAAAAATTTTCTCAATCAAGTTTTAAATAGACGTTTACAGTTTCTATTATTTTATGATATAAAATGTATATTTTATTAGGTTAAATATACTTTATTTAATTTTTCATTTTAATGATCTTTTATTAAAATCACCACAGTTGACCAATATTAATATTTGTGTAACAATATATTGTATTTTTTAAAACATGTTTTACATTATAATCAAATCTTATTACTATTATTTATAATTATTTATTTTAACATTAGTATCTTATACCTCTGTAAAAACTATTAAGATTTATTATGTTTTGTAAGTAAAAAATATATAATATATAAATATTGTATCAAGATCTCTTGAAACTAGTAGGAACTGAACTCAAATATTCATTCATACGCTGAGATACGCAATTCTATCAGCAGGCGTTCAATAACAAAGAGTCGTGGTGACAAATTCTGACATTGTTCACATATACAAAATCGACTATACTGCAATATTTATAAAGTATATTTTAAAATTATCTGCATATATGTATAATATATAGAACAAGAGTCAGGAATCGGCAACAGTAGCTTGTTTGTTACATAGTACTATAATAAGAAATTTGTTTTCGTAGCTTTCAAACTTTTCTAAACATATTTTCTTTTGTTATTTTACGCTATGATGATTATATTTTACAAATAAAATATTATTATATTTATAATAAAATACTCCATTATATTTTTAAAATACTATGATTTATATATATTGATCCATACTATCTTTTTCGACCTTCCTTGGGGTATTAAACCACAGTCTCTACAAATGTATACTGATACAATACGTTCACTTGGTGACGAAACTTATAGTTACAAAAAAATATTTAAATATAATTTTTATAAAGAATTTATTACTTGATCTACTCCAACAATAACAAATAATCAATTGCAAAAACATAATTACATGAATATAATTATTTTTAATTACATATTATAGAGCAAATACATTTAAGAGAAGAAAAAAAAAACAGACCCTCAGTCGTAAATATTAACATGAAATAGATAAATAAATAAAGATACAGTAAGTTGATATGTATATTTTACTATTAATAATCTTGATGCAATTAAATATGATCAACAATTTTTATTTTTTATTTATTTTTTTGTTTATTTACTTAATACAGAACTGCACTTAGACTATGTAGAAACACTTTATTTTGTATTCTATAGGTAACTTAGACAAATCCTGAAGATTTAGATCAAATATTAACTTCGTAGATAATACAGGGGACACGACTTGGTGAAATGAGGTTTTATTTCACGACTGGCTTAGAAAAATATGGCCCATCTTCTGTCCTGCCCTTTTGACCATCATCCAAGCAAAACCAGAATGGAAATCGCTAAGTTTTATTATAAGTATGATAATTATGGTAATTTTTATCTTTATTTGATTAAAATACAATACATACTGGAATAAGCTATTAGTTATTTTAACAAAGAAAAGAAAAGATAGCATGCAAAATTAGATGTTTAATTTAATGTCAAAATTAAAATATGTTTATGTACTTTTTCATATTGTAGGAGTAATTTTTTTTTGTCATGCATGTATTTACTTTTTTAATACCACAATGCTTAAGGTACAAAATTCCTTTCCCTGAAATAAAAAAAAAGTTATATATTTTAACACATACAGCTATGCATCGTTTCTTATATTTAGCTAGTTTTGGAATACCACCATGATTATGCTGCTTTTGATTCATACAAAGAAGTAACTTCATTATTTGAGTGGTGAGTAAGACGACTCAACCGTAAACATTACTATGATATTAATCTGAAACTAAACTTAGTATATATTTTAGGTTAGGTATGTATTTTGAAAATACAATCACAAAACAAAATGTCTCATATTTTATACATATTCACTGACCCTTTTTTAACAGTGAAACTCGCAGCAAATATTTCGTTTTGCAATTCTCACGTGTGACACTTGGCAATATGCATTGTACATTCTGTGTCAAATGATATGAGGTTTTGTTATTTTATTATCCCATCAAGGATTCAGTTTCCTTTGTTGCATTTACTCTAAACATTTAGCTTTTTTATTATCTATATTGAATTTGGGGTTTTATTTACCTAAGATATCAACACCATTATTACAAATATTATAATAATATTAAAAAAAATAAAAAAATTACCGCTTGAGAAGGATCTATTTGTCAAATTACTTATATTGCGCACACAAACAAAGCATAATCTTAATTCTTGTTTCAATAAAATAACAATTGTAAGGTTAGCTTTAACATCTATTTGATTTGGCAAGTTTCGTTGCATCTACATTTATACAAATGTAGATGCAACCGAACATTACCGATGCATTAACATGTCGATGCATTTAAATTCAAATTCGCAATATATTTATTCATATAGGTCTATTAAACTGTTATGATATGTCAAATCAACCGTCGCGTCAGTTTGGAATGATTTCAAGATGAGAAGAACTGATAAGAGACTCAGCTCGTATTCTTTGTATATGAATGTTATACATGTTTACAACAATAATGATTCATTTCTATATACAAATTTGGGAGAATAGTGTAACCACCAGCATATGCTATTGTAAAAGCAAATAGTCTAATCGGTGTTCGTAACCTATTGATAGATATCATATATCTATCTATTGATGATTATTAAAGTATAATAATAAATAGGATAGTTAAATGACCTCATATTTTATTTTATTAATAAACCAATTTATGAAATTGTAGGCGACATATTGGAAAATTTACAAAATTATATAAGTTTTTGGGGGATTATTTTCTTAGCTTTCTATAGGCTATACATCGATCCGTTATTCTATTATCTATTAATGTAGTTTTTGCCTTGTCAATATTTAATTAAATGTGAAGTTAAAAGATATTTTTTATACTTCATTTATTACGTATCATTATCGATCAGTATCTTTATTCGAAACTATTTACAGAATAAATTACAGCAAATAAATACAACTTCTCGTACAAAGAAAGATATAGAACAGAACAGCGTTACTAAAGACATGATAATCAATTCTGTTCGCAAACCGTAATAAAAATAAATAAATAACTTAACAACCTAAAAATTTTATGAATGAATCATTTTTAGTATTGTAACATAAATACTAATGTAGATACGGTTTTTTTTTTATTTTATAATGTATCTAATTGTCAGTATCACTGTAATAATATGTATAGATATGGCTTCTGCTTTACTGAAATTAACAAGGATCTTCATATACTATTCTATTACAAATAACGTCAGAGTAATTTATAATGATTCTATTTAACACCTCAAATTAATGAAAGCAAATTGGGTTGGACTGATGCCTATATAATTATAATTTTCTTGTAATTCACTTAAAATTTTCACGTAACAATGAAACAAACACGCATAGAGACTTAAAAAAATGGATCGTCGAATTAATACATTCTACTTTTTGAAGTTGGTCGAGAAAAAATGGAACCAAAAAATGAGAATGTTCAAATAATTGTGGTAGAAACGCAAGGGGACTATCCAAGTGAGTTTTGAAGTTAAACGTGTCAAGGTCCTGTACTTTCTCCAAATAGTACCTTGCTCCTATCTCGTTAGGGTTGCTATATAATAATTTTAAAAAGTTAGTTATTAGACTTCTCTATTTCCATTATTCATGTGTCTGACTTTAATCATTCCTTGCCATTAAACAGCTACAAACCACACACTTGTAAATCCTAAATTAGGGACATATTACTTTAGTTTTTTAGTCACATCCAGCATGAGGTGGTGGTAGTTTATTTTGTGATATTCGTAGTGTTGTTCATATTTGCAGGAGACGGTTAATTTTCTCCATCAAAAATGCTGTCACTTGGTTCTCACTACAAGACAATAAAAAGTAAAAGAAACTAAGTATTTTGAATAGTATAAAATATATAATAATATAGAGAAAAGCACTTTCTTACACAGACATACACAGATTATCCTATACTGATTTTTTAGATTTTGTTCAAGTATAAGTATCATTTATTCATAAACATTATTTTTTTATGAAAAACGTTTAGCAAGAAACTCAACAAAGCACATACTTTTAAATAATAAAAATATGTTACTATATAGTTATGAATATTATTTTTTTAAATATACTTTTCTTATAGGCAAAAGACGAAAATGTAGTAAGTTCATTGAAATCCAGTACATTGATTAGAATATTAGTGCACAAGGATAATAAGTTTTAGAAGTAATATAAGTCTATTTTTTTTAATTATAATTAAATAAAATAAAAACACGCATTATTTCAATATTGAATATTAATAATCTGCTATAGTAAATAATTTTATACGACCAAAGTGGCAACCCTAGATGTAGTATGCACCGTGCACCGAACCAAGGTCATACCAATGAACTTAGATCACTTACTTTCTATTTGAATTGCTTCCAGTATATCCAATGATTTCAGATACAATTCGTTAGATGTTTTTGAAATATTTTTTTTATTTATCAATCTAATTCTTATTCTTAGTGGGGCTCTTCATATATATTGACGACGGTCACCTTTTGATGACATAAGATTAACTGTTTTCTTCATGAATCGTGATTATGAATATTATTCATATATCTACTTTAATTGGTAATCATAGTTGATCTGATAAGAATATGAGAATTCCTTTTGAATTTACATGAAATAAAGAAACTGAATATCTCAAGTCAAACATAAGTATTTTCTAGTATTTAATATATAAGTAGTATTTAAATACTTTCCCGCCTCAGTTTTAGCGGT